CTGTGCGTGGCGAGAGGGAACAGCCAGAGCCCTTCCTTCTGGACCCAACCAGGCCTCCCTGGGGACAGGAATCAGGGGGGGTCCCCATCTCTGACCCCTTGCTGAGAAGGGAGTTGGGATCCAGAGCCTCCCCTGGATCAGTCCCTCTCCTCTGTGGAACAAGAGGGGGATAATCCATAGTCTCCCAATTAGGGGAGGGATAGGACCCAGCGCCTCTTCTCAGCCCCCTTCCCTCCCACACTTGCGCCCAATGGGGAGGATCACCCCTCAGCTCTCTGCCCCTCTACAGGCTTGTGCAAGAGGGTCGGGCAGTGTGGATGCTCTGCGGATTCTTTCCCCAAGAACGGGCATACTTGCGCAAGAAGCCACGAGTGTAGACATAACCGAAGAGTGTAGGTGGTGACTAATAAAGGACTATTTAGTGAAACACCACAGATATCTACTGAACACCCCTCTATTCAACATTACAAAAAAAATAGTGTGGTTTCTTTTGCAATGCTTAGCACACCATGTTTGATGATTTTCTAAGATTGAGGAACACAAACTTTTGTTCTCCATAATGCTGTCTTGTTTTTTCTCTGTAGAAAATAAAAGATGCTCCTGAAAAACCCTTCAGAAGTTGAGTATAGGAAGCAAAAAACTCAGTTGCAATTTTGAAGCGAGGGACAAATTTGACGGGAAAATACCTGAAACGGACCAGGTTTTAAGTTTAGGCAATAATGATTCCCCCAGTGCAGAGCAAAATTGAGCAGCAAAGTGTAAATTAATGTAAGTCCTGTTACTAAGAAATTAGCAGCTTTACATAAGAACAGCCATCCTGGGTCACCAAAGGTCTGTCTCTGATAGAAGTCAATGCAGAGAGAATGAACAGAACAGGTAATCATCAACGCTATGTCTAGATGACAAAGGTAAGTCAGATTGCTTTTTCTGCTTTTCTGTTGAAATTTGGTGCGTCTACATGGTGCCAAATTTTGGAAAAACCAGCTTTTTCAACACATTCCTTATGCCTCGTAGAACAAGGTTTACAGGGATGGCGAAAGAGCACATCCACTTTTTCGGAAAAAAATTTGAGGTCTAGACTGCAGGCTTCTTTCGGAACAAGCTTTTTTCGGAAGAGATATTCCAAAAAAACTTCTTCCGAAAGAGAGCATCCACACTGCAAAAATGCATCGAAAAAGCGATCTGCTTTTTCAAAAGATAGCATCCAGACTGAATGGATGCTCTCTCGCATGTAAGCTGTGATTGCTATGGATGGAATGGCCACCAGGGCCAAAAGCAGTCTAAGTGTCACTACATGGGACAGTGAAGTGCACCTAGGTGTGTGGGTTACACACACAGGAGCTGACAAGGAACAGCAACTGGCAGGGTGGCCAGGGAGCAAGGAAAAGTGACTGCATGGGTGGTAGGTGAAGATAGGGCTGAAGGAGGCAACCCGCCTCAGCTGCACCCACAACCTGGCCCCTTCTGCCCAGACCCCACAGGAGCCAAGCCACTCTCCCCTACTCCAGGCGGTATGTGTCTCCAGCCTTGCCAGCCCCAGAGCATAGGGAGGGAGAAGGCCACATGGCCACAGCCCCCTTGAGCATGAGGAGGGTGCGCAGCTCCGGCCTCCCCAGCCCGGAGCACAGGGAGGGTGAGTGCTGGAAGCAGCAGTACCCCACCGCCAGTACACCTACAGCAGGCGTTCCGGAAGCAGAGTGTGAATGGGCCCAGGCTGGCAGTTGGGAAAACAATGCCTTCCCCCACCTAGCATATCAGCCACCCATGAATGGCTGGCAAAGCATCCAGCCAAAGCAAATGCCCAGATGACAGAGCAAGCCAGGTGCCTTACTCCCTTTGGTGGTGTGTAATTTTCATAGATTACTGGGAGGGTGCTCATACCAGTTCAGTGTTGTATTGTTGAAAAGGAATCCGCAGATACTGAACCTGGCCCTGCTTGCTGCCAGCACCAGCTTCCAGCAAAGCTACAAATTCAAAACTAATTGGTTCACCAAGGAAGGTGCTTGAGAACATATTGATGTGGCTTGGCAAAGTGCAGTACTATGCCACAATAATGGACTGCACTCCCAACACTAGTCACAGTGAAAAGTCATTTACAGTAAAATTTGTTGATGAGGAGGATGGCTGTATCCAAGTAACCGACCACTTAAATCTGTTTCCAGTCCGTGGAGGACTCTCCTGGAAAAGGCCTAGCCCTAACCCAATTGTTTGTGAATGCTCTGAATGAGAATAAAATAAAGCTTCAGGCTGTGGCCAAGGCTACAACAGCGTGAACATGAAGGGAAGAAACAGCAGTGTCCAGGCAAGAATCCTTTCGCCTAATTCAAAAGCTGTCTTCATGCTTTGTGCCTGCCAATCCTTCAACCTGGTTGTGTCAGATACAACATCTGCTTCAGATTCAGTATCTCTCTTCAGAATCTGCAAGAGAGAAACATCCTGTTTTCTGGATAAACTATGATGTGGAAAATCCTCAAGGTCAAGGACAATACCACAAATCTTACTGCTAAGAGACACTCACTGAGAGATCCACATTGACAGTATAAGGCCCAACAAGACTGAGGTTTACAATGCCCACATGAAACTGGTGCTGTAAAGTAAAGCTATGGCCAGAATCCAACACAAGGGCTACGTCTAGACTGGCATGATTTTCCGGAAATGCTTTTAACGGAAAAGTTTTCCGTTAAAAGCGTCTAGATTGGCACGGACGCTTTTCCACAAAAGCACTTTTTGCGGAAAAGCGTCTGTGGCCAATCTAGACGCGCTTTTGCACAAAAAAGCCCCAATTGCCATTTTCGCGATCGGGGCTTTTTTGCGCAAAACGAATCTCAGCTGTCTACACTGGCCCTTTTACACAAAAGGACTTTTGCCCAAACCGGAGCAGCATAGTATTTCTGCAAAAAGCACTGATTTCTTACAGTAAGAAGTCAGTGCTTTTGCGGAAATTCAGGCAGCCAGTGTAGACAGCTGGCATGTTTTTCCAGAAAAGTGGCTGATTTTCCAGAAAAACTGGCCAGTCTAGACACAGCCAAAGTGGAAAGCCTGGAAAACCAGATCAACTACCTTCACATTTCTGATCTTAATTATTGTTTAGCATAATATCCTGTTGTGTTCCAAGTAAACACAATAAGCAAGGCATTATAAACTCAGCTGATGGACATTGCAACCACTGCTATTTCAATAAGAAGCTGCTTCATCGTAGCTTACTGAGCCAATGCATTTGAAGGTGCCATTACTACAGCCAAAGAAATGGCATAAAACTTAAGAATTAAGCCTATCTTCAGGGAAACTTGTATTCATCAGAAGAGACCATTTGCTTACAAAGGCAAAGATGAGGTGGTGGGAAGCTCAGAAGGAAGATTCAAGAGGGGAGTTTTTTTGCTCACTCATTTACACTGTTATACAATATAACAATGGGCCAGGTTACAACACTCATGCCATTTTAAGTAAGTTGGATAAATCTTGGGTAAGTATAAGGATTACATACTAAACAAGAAATTAAGTTCAGTGCATGGGTGGCCATAAACTAGTAGGCTGCATCTAGACTGGCATGATTTTCCGCAAATGCTTTTAACATGCTTTTGCGGAAAAACTTGCCAGTCTAGATGCAGCCATAATGTTGCATTACAGGGGGTAGGGAACACTCAGCTAAAACAGTAATGCAACACTACTAGTTTATGACCACCATGCACTGAACTGAATTTCTTATTTATGACTTAGAGTCTCACACCTTACCTGATATTCGTAAAGAATTGCAGAAGATCTTTTAACTCTACTTAACCTCTATGGATTTTTCAGTTCAAACAGGTATTTATTTGCAAATCCTCAGTGTATTTTCTTCTGATTATGCAGAAGAAATACTTTTGAGTGTGTGTAATGAAAATTGCAGTTAAACTAAGCCAAATTTATTTCTGGAATCATTTTACAGAAGTGCAAAAAAAAGAAAAAAAATCTAAAACCATTAAGATTGCTGAAAAACAACTTAATGTTCAGATACTAGAATTATGAATAGATTAATGGAACAAAATTATCTATTGCATCATCTACAAATTTCAAGTATTTAAAAGGAAGAAATTTCTTAAATCCTACCCCGTCATCAGAATTACAGTCATGTTCTATTCAATACTACAGCTACTTGAAGTTTT